CACCTACAACTGGCCACTCTTCTACTACCAGTTCCATAGAGATCACGCCCTACCGAATCTTATATGGAATCATACTGTAAGAAGTAACTTTTGATTATAAAAAATATATTTGCATGATAATGATGTGACCAAGTTAAAGAGCATTTTTTGGCGATTTGACCTATATTGTGATGTCTGATCTAGGACCATATATATCATTTTCATTGAAAGTGGTGGAATGTAAACTAGCTTTTGAGTAAAATATTCTAAATAATTATAGACTCGTGAAGAACTGCGTAATGCGTTGGAGAATGAGCTGCGCGCGTTCACATCCGACCGTGAGGTGGCGGGGGGCGCGCTGACGTCATGGAACCACGCTGAGCTAGAGGTCCACTACCAGTGTCTCCAGAACGAGGTGAAGATCGGCGACTACTACCTGCGTATACTGCTGGAGCAGCGCGACAACGACGACAGCCCTATACGCAAGTCGTGAGTATAATGCCCACTGCCCACTGCTCACAGTGGACGTTGCCCACTGGCACGAGTGGACATTGCCCACTATTACGAGTGGACATTGCCCACTATTACGAGTGGACATTGCCCACTAGTACAAGTGGATTTTGCCCATTAGTACGAGTGGACTTTGCCCACTCACCGGAGTAAAAATTACTTATTGCCCACTGTCCCACTAAAACATCTACATTTTATAAATAAAGGACCTTTCACAGTTGACGTTTCTCTTTACTTTTCCAGATACGAGTTTTTCAACGACCTCTACCATCGGTTTCTGTCGACTCCTAAAGTGGAAATGAAATGCATGTGTCTTCAAGCGATGACTATTGTCTATGGAAGATATTATGAAGATATCGGCCCCTTCGCAGATACCAAATATATCGTTCAAATGTTAGACAGGGTGAGAAGATTACCTTTTTTTATATTAGTTTAATATTATATTAGAATATGAACGTTGTTTTAATATTTTTTTTGTTAATTTTGCAGACATGCGATAGAATGGAGAGAGACAGACTAGTACAGTTCCTAGCTAAATTAATATTACATAAAAGAAATGTTAGCGAGATATTAGAATGGAATGGTATTAGGTAAGAAGACTTAAAGTTATTAAAGAAAAAAAACAACGTTTTTTTGTTAATTGGAGTAACTTTTTTTAATAAATCTGTGATTATAGTCTTATAAGTGTAAAATCTTGCATGTGGTGGATTTTTTTTATTATTATTTAGGCAGTGTAAGCCGAGAAAAATTAAAATTAAGTGAATTATTAACGCCGGCGTCCAGAAACACGCTGTTCATTAATAGTTCCTAAACATTAGTAATAATAAAATATAGCCTATGTTATTCACAGATAAATTACCATTCTGATGGTGAAAGCTTTTTTAAAATCGGCCTAGTTTTTGAGTTATTTCAATACATACAAAAATACAAATCTTTCTCCTTATAATATTAGTATAGAAATAGATTTTCAATGTATCCGAAGATATGTTTCAAATGATGATTATTTGTAGGATTCTAGTGGAACTAATGACGTTAGCGCATTTACATACGTCACGTGCGACCGTGCCCGCGCAGAGCAACTTGCTGGAGGCGGGCGCGCAGTCGGCGGGCGCGGGCGAGCGCGAGTGGTACTACAACCTGGAAATGGCCGATAAAGTGCATCGCAAGGGACCCGTGAGCCTGCAACAGGTATATATCACGTAAGCATGTACGCAATTATGTACGCGAACGCATTATACATCTTCGTGTTCATTACGAACTACGTAATTTTAAGAAGAAAATCAGTGTTGCGCTGGAAGATCGACGCAACACTAGATCATTGACATATACTTCCCATCCCTATGACATCTGTCAATGTCATTCAGACGCATATAAGCGCGCCATTCTAGAAGGAGTGGTCTCATAAGAGTAGAAGTTAATTTTGCTGTTTTAATTACATTAATATCTAACAGGGACAGTTTTACAGCTTGATTTTTTTATTAATAATATGTATCTATACATGTGTGTCAATGTGTAATATCATAATAAGATCACGGTTCCTACATATTTGCGTACTGAACAAAAATTTTTTTTTTAAATTCTATCTCAGTCCGTAAGACTGTTTGTATTGTGTAAATTTAAACGTTTTTCTTGATTTTGACGGGACTTTCACGTGAAGTTATTTGATGGAAGCAGGAATCTTAGAGGTTACTTTTTTAATTCTGCGTTGACGAAATCAGGAATGATCGCTAGTTAATCAAAGTTTTAATATAAGAAGAACCTAAACAGGTAGTGTTTTGGTTAATGTATACTAACCTGTAGTTGTAATT